AAGCTTCCAATATCACCTAGCCAAAGATTGATTATTTTTTAAAGTTTAATTTTTATTCAAAAGGCAATTAGGAAGAAACAGAGATAAAGAGATAAGTCTTTCATTCGCTGGTTAACTCCCCAAAGAGCTACAATGGCTGGAGCCACACTAGGCAGAAGCCAGGAGTCTGGAGCTGCTTCTGGATCCCCCACATAAATTAAGGCCCAGGGACTTGATCACATGATAATGTGCTTATATGGGCACATTAGCATGGGGCTGGACTGAAAGTGGAGCTGCTGAGATTCAAACCAGTGCCCATATGGGATGCTGGGCCAGAGTGCCATAATGCTAGCCATGAACATTTGTTTTTCACAGAGGCAGTTAAGAGGTTAGTTTGCAAAGTGCGTTTTGTATGAAATTCTCATTTCACTGCTTCACTGCTTCAGTTAAGAGAAGACCAAGATAACTCTGTGACTTGCTGCAGGTAAGCTACTAAATGGCAAACCTCAAGCAAAAATACTGGGTAGCAAGCTTCTCCTGCCCAACCTGTAGTTTAACTTGTGTTTTCTTTCTTTCTTTCTTTTTTTTTTTTTTTAAGATTTATTTATTTTTATTGCAAAGACAGATATACAGAGAGAAGCAAAGACAGAAAGATCTTCCGTCCAATGATTCACTCCCCAAGTGACCGCAACCGCTGGTGCTGTGCCAATCTGAAGCCAGGAGCCAGAAGTTCTTCTGGGTCTCCCATGCAGATGCAGGATCCCAAGGCTTTGGGCTGTCCTGGACTGCTTTCCCAGGCCACAAGCAGGGAGCTGAATGGGAAGCAGGGCTGCCAGGATTAGAACCGGCGCATTAAAGTGAGGACTTTAGCCACTAGGCCACTGTGCCTGCTCGTTACTTGTGTTTTATGTGCTGAACAAACCCTTGGTGTTCTAGCTGAGCACCATGACATTTACAGTCTTTCCACAATGCTTCTCCAAGATGGAATATTCTTCTGTCCTCAAAGGAAAGACCAAAGGAGGAGAGATTACGTAGCCATTTACTTCCAGCTACTCAATTCTCTTCTTGTTTTCTGTCTGATATAGTTAACCCACACAGATGGGTTATGGTTGCTCCTAATTTTGATCTGTGAGCAGGTTGGCTTAAAATCACATCTGAGTTTTACATGATTTCTGTCCTGTGCTTTTCTTGCCCTGCCTGATTGCCTGAGTCCTTGTGACCTGTGGGATGGCCTGTTTTTGGTATTAAAGGAAAAGAAGGAGTACAAAACAAAAGTGATTGTTACCTATTCTACCTCATGAGAAATCTCAGTAACCTGATCTCTTCACCAAAAACACGTTTGAGAGCTGTCATTAGAGAGATACTTAAATTGAAAATAGATGATATATAGGGCTAAATAAAAGATGGGATTCAACAGTGTAATTTACAGAGGTAACTCTGAGGTTAGTTTGCTTAGTAACAATCATATCAAGTTTTCACTTCTTGCTTCTGATTTCAAGCAGCAATAATTAACTTTTTGGAGTTGTCACTCCATGGTATTGCTAAAATTGCTAAATTAGTGGGCAATGAGACTTGATGACTTTGGTGGACTTTTAAAAAATATTCTTTTAAGAAATCATTTATGTGGTTTTTTTTTTTTTTTTATGTATTTGGCTTTTAAATGCAGGCAGAGGCCAAGAGGGAAAGAAAAGGAGTTCCTAATCCTCTGATTTACCCCAAATGCTTACGGGGCTAATGCTTTGGGGCTGGACTGGGCTGAAGCTAGGAGAGCTGGGAGCTCAATGGAAGTCTCCCACTTGGTTGGCAGAGACACAATGGTTGGTCATCACCTTCTGTCTTCTAGGGTACATGTAAAGAGGAGACTGGAATCAGGAGGACAGCCAGGACTCAAATCCAAACACTCAAATTGGCATCTTAGCCACCTGGTACTGAATGAGCACATTAGCTGTCCAAGGCACCAAACAGCCACACTCTGAAAGAGGTGACACCCCTAGCAACGTAACAAGGCACAACTGAGGAAATGCTTTCTAAAAGCCTTGACTATAAAGGTACTATTAGGGGTCAATATGGTGGCATCATGGGTTAAACCACTGCTTGTGACTTTGGCATTTTATGTGGGTAGTAGTTCAAGTCCTGACTGGTCCACTTCTGATTCAGCTCCCTACTAATGGACCTGGGAAAGCAGTGGAAGATGGTTCCAGTCCTGGGACTCCTGTCATCCATATGGGAGACCCCAGTGAATTTCCTGGCTCCTGACTTTGGCCTGCCTCAAGCCGGTTAAAGATATAGCTGGTTTTCATTTTTCATGTCTGATTCTGGGTTCTAGAAAGGTCCAAGAAAGGATGGGTAGCTGAGGTTAATGGGGAAGGGGTGACACCATATGTTGAGAGAAAAGAATTGCAAGTTTAAATTCTCATTTGTCTAGATAATGCTTTTGTATACTGTAATTTGCAAAAGCAAGTAAGGTTATTTTTGCATATGATTTACTTGTGTGCTTATTGCCAGAAGTGTTTTTCAGTTTTGACAGGTAAATAGGTTTGGTATAGTTTTCTTCATAGTTTTCCAAAACCTCAAGAGTATGTTTTTTTAAAGTGATGAATTACAGGTGAAAAATTGTTCATCCTAGCAGTGAAAACAGAGTATCAGTATCTTTTTTTCCCCTCAGTTCCTTGAACCTTAATCCCCACAGGGAAATGGGAAGAAAGCTAAATGGAAAGAGATAGTGAGTTTTGAAAACCCAAATCTTTTCTGACAGGCCTTTTCCAGCAGCCTGTACAAACGTTCTCAGAAGTGTGTAGGTATATAAATTATAGCCTTGACAGTTGTTCTTTGGCCACACTTTGTCGTTTGTTTGCTTACAGATTTCTAGTAAACACTAAAATCAGCACCTACCACTTAGCACATTTCCTTACTATACGATGGTTTGGTGTACCTCATAGTCATCTTAGTAAGTTTTTATGTATCTGGCACTCTACAGCTTTTTTTTAAAGTGACCATCTGAAGTCTTGTGTCCTCAGTGAATTCAGCCTGACAAGAAAGAGAGTTGCAAGCAGTTTCTATACACACAGGGCCACACTTTAGGTGCTGTGGCATTGGGAGGAAAAAACGGCATGTCACTCTATTTGGAGGCCTTGGAGAACATGCACAAAGATGGCAAAGGTGGAGCTGAGTCTTGCAGGATCCATATATTAATGGGCAGCATTACATTAAAAAGTTAGTGGTGCTTGTAGAGCATGATACAGAGTGCATCCAGGGTCAGTGTGGTACGTGTGAGGACTGTTGCCACTCAGTTCTAAATACAAGCAAGTGGGAACATATAGCCAAGAGACATGGTGCGGGGCACTGGATGGGAAATTCCTGACAGAAAACCTTCATGGAGAGGGAAATTCTAGCTAAAGTCATCTGACAATCGCTAAATATAAGACTATCTGAAGAACAACAAACATGATGGGTTAAAACATCAGGTATGTTGAAAATGCATGCATTCATAATGATATTAAACAAATTAACAGCGTGGCTAACATTGGAGTTTGCGGTAGCACCAACTTATTTCTCTAAAATTTGATAAAGAATTTGCGCAAAGTTTCTTCTGTAAGTTGGTTTGAAAAAAAAATTCTGTAGAGGAATCCCAGGTAGTACTTATTGAAAGTATTAGAAATCGGGCCCGGCACAATAGCGTAGTGGTTAAAGTCCTTGTCTTGCACGCACCAGGATCCCATATGGGCACCAGTTCTAATCCCAGTGGCCGTGCTTCCCATCTAGCCCCCTGCTTGTGGCCTAGGAACAGTGGAGGACGGCCCAAAGCCTTGGGACCCTGCACCAGTGTGGGAGACCTGGAAGAGCTCCTGGCTCCTGGCTTTGGATTGGCTCAGCTCCAGCAGTTGTGGTCACTTGGGGAGTGAATCATTGGATGGAAGATCTTCTCCTTCTCTCTGTATATCTGCCTTTGCAATAAAAATAAATAAATCTTTTTTTTTAAAAAAAGTATTAGAGATCATACTGTAGGATAAAAGACTTAAAGGACATATCCAAACACAGCGTGAAGAGTTACTTTCCCCTGGCTAGGGGTGGGGTGGGATGGAGATAGGAGTGAGGGGGTAGTTCTTGATTGGAACAAACTAACTATAAATGCCTCCTTGGGCTCAAGCAGGGAGATCTGAATATGTACTAAGTATGTTGCTAAGAAGGCGCTTTTGTGAATTGTGTTAGTTATGATAATAGTGGTGAAAAAAACCCTAAATATCTGTTATCACTTGGCATCTAGATAATATTTTTTTTTCAAGGGGAAGGACAGGGAAGCAAAGAAATTAGATTGCTAAAATGTTGCTGACTGTTGAGTGATGGGCATAGGAGGTGCATTATTAACACTGGAGTCCCATCTGCTTCCCTTTAAATCCTTCCATTATGGATTTTAAAAGCACTGTTCGTGCCAGCAGCGTCATTTCAGCTGCCTTAAAGCCCATCCACAGGCCCTGGCGGGTTTTTTGAGCCCATTACGTACACTGACCAAAGCTCGCCGATGCCACACTCCCAGCAATCACAAGTCCCCTGCAAAGGGGCTTTCTGAAATGAAAGCACCCAACACTTTTAGAAGTTTCCGAGATTTCCCAGGGATTTCCGAAAGAAATTACGGGTGTAGCTGCTCGATTGCTGCTGAATTTCCTGAAGCCTTTCCCTCAGCTGCTGGCGTTTATCCTGAGTGGGCAGCTGACAGCTCCCTTTGCTGTCTCTGACTTATAGTAACAAGAGAGATTGTCGCGACCTCCACTTTCCCTCTTCGCGCTCACCTCTCCCAGCCCTTTTCCCGGGCTTGATCTTTTCTCTTTCTCTTCCTTTCCTCTTCTCCGGCTTTCATCCACCAGGTCCGGGTTCCTCGGGCCCCGCCTCGTGCCGGCCCCGCCCCGCCCTCCGCGCCCGGCCCCGCCCTTCCGCGCCCGGCCCCGCCCTTCCGCGCCCGGCCCCGCCCCTCCACGCCCAGCCCCGCCTCTTTCGCGTCACACCCCGCCTTTTACTCCAGCGCTGGTCGTGGAGGTTACCATAGCTACCAGGCACACACCAGTTAGGCCTTCCTAGCAGATCGCCCGCTGGCCTGAGGAAAGCAGCAGCATCATGAACCATATAGTGACCATCAGGGATGCTCAGGCCAACCTGCGGGTGTCTCAACCACGATGCAGGGAGAAGGCAGGGGCTGGGAGCCACTTCTGCTCCAACCGGGTTTACGATTATCTCTACGGTAAGGGTCTGCTGAGACAATCTCCCGGGATGTGAACTGCTGGGCCAGGTCGGGTTTCCATATGATGGACCTGGCAAGGAGCATGTAAAGCTGTCTCCGGACCTGTCCTTGCCTGTGGCTCTCCTCTGTTGGTTGGGGCAGCTCCGAGTCCTGCGGGTGGCCACGCGCTCTGGGGATGCCTCTGAAGCCACAGATGCTGTCGCCTCTCAGAGCTCCATGCCTAGCCGCTCCATGCTGGCCGCCGGGCTCCTCCTAACCGTGTTTTTCTGCTCATTTCCTCAGCCCCGAGCAGTCTTCTGACACCGTTCTGGGCGTTTCGGTGTCCAGAAAAGTATGGAATGATTTTAAAACTTAGAATCCACTAGTTCTCAAGTTCAAACTACATAAAATATCCAGTTCTTATCCGATGGGCAACCCCAACTTTGGCATTCCAGGTTAAGAACATGCCAGTGTGTTTCACATTTGTTTGGCTTTCCTTTAAACTTATTTTAATCATCAGAACCTTTATAATCCAGATCCATTGATTCTTTTTGGGGTCAAATATAGACTTTCTTGTGTATCTCTTGGGGAGTTAAGATTTCTGAGTGTTTTTGTAGTCTTCTTGGCCTCTTCCAATGGATGGTATCTATAGTTGTGTGTTTAATGTTCATTCAACGTTATTGTGTTTACTGTTACAGAAATTGTAATCATTTAAACATGATTGTGTTTTTCAGTTTTGCCCTCAGTCACCCACAGCTCCTCACTTGAGTCTTTCTTTTAAATGATTTATTTATTTTTTTTTTTTGGAAAGACAGATTTACAGAGGCAAGATCAGGAGAAAGATCTTCCATCTGCTGGCTCACTTCCCAAGTGGCTACAATGGCCGGAGCTGAAGCTGAGCAGAAATGAAGCCACAAACTTTCTCCAGGTCTCCCACATGGGTGCAGGGGTCCAAGGCTTTGGGCCATTCTCTGCTGCTTTTCTAAGTCATAAGCAGGGAGCTGGATCTGAAGTGAAGCAGTTGGGATATGAACTGGTGCCCATATGGGATGCTGGCACTTGTGGGAAGAGGATTAGCCAATTGAGCCATTGCACTTCCCACCCACCTCCTGAATCTTGTGTGACTTTCAAGCACATGACATCACGTCAAGGATTCCAGTCTCTCCTGGTGTAACTCTGCACACACTTTTCCTGCATGGTGCACTGTTCAATGATTGCTTACACATTCTTCCCTTGTTTTTTTTTTTTTTTAATTAACCCTTGGTTTCATTTTATAGCATAAATCATAATAAATTCACGTAAACTTGCCACCACATCTCGCCCCCCCCGAAAGGTGATTTGAGAATAGGGGTAAATGTCTGATAAAGATGGGCAAAACATTTTCACTCTATCTTTTGTCCCTGAGTGTCAGTTCCATAGGAATTGTTAAATGTATCCCTGTCTCTTATAAGGAAGGAAAATCCATCCAGAATACACCAAACAAGGTTTGGGTGGTTTCTTTTTTTTGTTAGTTAGTTAGTTTGTTTTGTTTTTTCATTTTTTTATTATATTTTTGAAGTCTTTACATAGTTAATTAGGGTAAAAAGATTCAAGGGCTACAGGAAAGTGGGTAAGACTGTTATTTCCATATTGTTTCCTTCATGTATCTGAGGTAAAGGGGGATATTGAGGGAGAAGCCCCACCCAGTCTCCCACCCACCCCAGGTCCCAGATGTGGGGCATGCTCTGAGATTCTTGCTCATGTGGTTTTGATAGTTCACCAGTTATGAATTGCTGTCATTCTCGCCACTCCAAGCATGATGAGGTCGTTGAAGAATCCACTGATTGACATAGTCCATCATAGAGTCTCCATTTGCCTAGTTTTTCACTGCCAACATGTAGCTGAGGTGATTGATTGACTTATTCTGTGTTCTGTCTTTTGATGGTTAGGGTTCTGAGTCCAGAAGCTCGATTGGGGAGATCCCCAAATAAACTTTTTCTGAGGTGTTCCCAGACCAGATTCTTGTATGTACTAGCAAGCACAGGGCCCAGCACAGTCTGTTGCCCCGATCAGCTGGTGCTTGCAATTGCTGCGTTGGTTCTGTTTTCATCCATGTCTTCCACTGGAACCAATGGGTGTTGCAGTCCAGCCTGGTTCTGCCCAGCACATACTCGGCCCTCACATAAACCAGTGGGAGCTGCAGCCTAGTCAGAGCAACCCAAAGTAACCCCCACCAGACCTCCCCCCTACCCTGGTTTGCCAGTCTGTCCCACATCCCATTTGGCTCTCATACATTTCAGTGGGTATTAAAGCCTAGTTCCATCTAACCAGCTTAACTATCCAGCCCTCACGGATGTTGTTGAGTGCTTCTCTGTCTAGTCACCCCAGCCCCTGTCCTAGTTTTCGTGCCCTCCTGTGGGAGTGGTAACCCAGAGGGAGGAGCCCACCATTTTCCTCCCAGGCCTCTCCCACTCCTGGATCATGCTCTCCAGGTGGTTCTGTGGTTTGGCTTGACAGAATTAGCCCCCAGCACCAACTTCTGCCAGCTGATGCTGTGACTAAGCCCAAACAACCCTCACCCAGTCTAATTTTGTTTGTACCAGTAGGAATAATCAGCCCAGCCTGGCTTTTCCCTGATCAAGTCCATATGAGGCACAGAGGTGTTGTAGCCCTGCTTAGTCTGGTCTGCCCCCACCCCAGCTCACACTCTCCAGTGGGAGTAGCTGTCCAGCAAGGGAATTCCCCCTTATTTCCCCTGCTGGCTCTGCCCCCTCCCTCCCTGGTTCTCACATATGCTTGTGGGGCACTGCGGTCACATCTGGTACAGCCAACCTCACCTTGGCATTCCGTATTGTGCACTGGTTTTTGTTTCGACTGAACCTGGCTTGACCCACACTCTGTTCTGGTGCTTGAATTTGCCAGTGGATGACATGAACTGATTCAGTTTGGTCTGCCCCTGACCCATGCCATTGTATGCCAATGGGAAACTTTCCATGGCCTGTTCTGGGCTGTTTCCTATCATACTTCTTGCGCTTACCTGCAGGGACTGTGTCCTGCCAGAGGAGTTGCCCAGGCTCCTCCATCAGAACCCCTCCCAATGCCAGATTGTGTGTGTACCAGGGGTCCATGGGCCCACCCTACTCAGTTCACCTCCTGTCCTTGCAGGGACAGTGTTTTTTCCTGACTGGCCTTCAATCCAAACTGATTCTTGTTGGATGTTGCAGCCCAGCCGCGGCTTGTCCATACCCACATATGGCTCACACATGGCTCGGTAGGGGTTGAGACCTAGCCTAGTCTGTCCCACATCTACCCTGGCCCTCCAGGCCACCAGTCTGGCCCAGCTTGGTGCATCCAGTCCCAGTCCACATTTGTGCCAAGGGAGACTAAAACCATATCCTAACCAGAACACAGCCCCAATTCCAGCCCACATGCCCCTTGGTGGGAACCTCCTCCCAGCTAGGGTGTCCCCTTAGCTCCCCAACCAGGCCTCTTCCCAGCCATGATCGCACATGCCTCTGACTCAGCTTGGCTCAGTCCCTCACCTGTCCCGGCCTCTGCCTTAGACACTGTGGCTTAGCGTTCCTGGCTCACGCAGACCAGTAGGTGCAAGAGCCTAGCTCAGTGTGACCTGTGCTCCATCCTTGTTTCTAGTTTTGCTTGTAGGCTAAGATTTGCTCAGTCCTGCCTGGCACACCCCATTCCATTACCAATTCACACATTGGTCAGCCGTTGGAGCTACTTTGCCTAGTTTGTTCGACCCTCAGGACTGGACCACATGTTCACCAGTGGGAGCTATGACTTGCCAGAGGAATTTTCCAAGTTCCTCCACTTGATCCTCTCCCCCGACCCAGTTCTCATACACACCATTGGGTTTTAGGTCAGTACCCGGCGCAGTCTAGCCTTCCATTTGGCCTTGTATGAGCTGGTGAATGTTGTAGCCCGGCCCACCCACACCCTATTCAGGATGCACATTCGGGTGCTGCTGCCTTGACCAGTCCAGACTGTTGCGGGTTCCTTTACCTGTGATTGATGGCAAGCTCCTTGATCACACCTAGCTTAGTCCATCACCACCCCACCTCTTGAGCTAACCAGTTTGGCTAGAATTTCCACAGGGTTGGCCCACACATCCCCCAAAAAATCTACTCCTAGATATGGTTCTCGAATGCTAGTTAATGTCATGGCCCTGCCTAATGTGACCCCTCTGCTGATCCATCATCATGTCTGATAATAGGATATCCTACTAGACAAGCCCCGAGCCTTAGCTTTTATATGAACTGGTGTTCAGTGCTCAGCATTGTTAAGTAATTACAAATTCTTAGAAGAAGAGTTACTGTCATTGGTAATCTTTAGGATTGATTCACATCCCAGAAGCACTGTGGGTTCAACCTGGATCTACCTAAGCAGCGATTCAAAGACCCAAAAATTCCAGAGCTCCTCGGCCAGGTGGCCAGCAGGCCGACCCTGGTGCCAAATGGCACACTGGCCACCCAGGACAGTTCACCACATGCACGTTGTGGCTGGCATTTGGGATCCAGGCATGAGACTCTCCATCCTGAAACCCGCCTATTTTCCAATTCTGTAAGCTAACTTTGAATACACAGAAAAGAAATGCATTTAACAGACTCTCATTGGTAGATGTGGTAGAGTAGCAGGGCCATGAACTTCTTTGTAGTATATAATATCTAAACTTTGTAATTTGTGTTCCAGTAAAGAAATTGCATTGGTTTGCCATTATTTTCAGCCTAGGAGTAGATACAATCTGTCCCTTATGTAATTTTATTGTTTATTTTGCAGATCCATTGTTTACTGTGTCAAGTAAGAAAGAACATGCACAAGCAAATATCCAAGCCACTATGCTTCGAAGTCGACTGGTAAGTCTAATTCAACTAAGGAAACCAAATATAGCATCTAGTTCAGATTACTGTGTTGATCAGATCGACTGGACTTTACGTTCTGCAGCTGTTACTTTACCATTATTGCTAGGGGACAAGGCATCTTACTCATCATCAATGGTAATCCATTGTGAAGATTATTGAGATAGTACTGAGTAAAGGGCCCATAACCTGATTTATTTCAACTGTAAAAGTCATATATGCTTGTTTTAAAAGAATTCAAGTGGTACAAAAACATGTATGGTATGAAGTATATTCTAGACTTACGCCAACACAGAAACACTCATTATTGCCAGTTTGACATTCTTTTATTAGAGATATTCTGTGTATAGTAAGTCTTCTTCTTATCCTATATTTACTTATTCTAAAAGTTGAGTTACAGAGAGAGAAGAAGATGGAGGGAGGAAGGAAGTGGGGGGGGTGCAGAAGAGAGAGAGAGAAGGAGAGAGAGAAAGAAATCCTCTGCTAATTAAATCCTCAAATGGCCACAACAGTTAAGGCTGAAGCCAAGGATTCTTCTGGGTCTCACTCATGGATTACAGAGATCCAAATATTTGGGCCAACTTCCATTGCCCTTCCCAGGCCATTGGCAGGGAGCTGGATCAGAAATGGAACAGCCAGGACTTGAACCAGTGCCCATATGGGATGCTAGGGTTTCTGGTGGCAGCTTTACACACTTCTCCACAATGCTGGCTCCTATATATGTTGTTTTGTATCTTCTTATAAAAAGTTTGTCATTATAATGTTATAAGTATTATAGCTTTAGAAAATCTACTGGCATAATTTTGTTCTTTTTTCCATTTTCTAACATTAGAGGAAAATTCCAAGGTTTAGAGCCATGTTCAGCAGCCTGAACCATTATCCAAGTTATTCTCTATATTTGAGCAAATCAGATCCTGTCCCACCATTCATCAGTCGGGAATGGAAGGGACATGAAGAAAAGCACAAAGAAGCCCTCTGGCGGCTTGCCGTGTAAGTGTTGGATGGATTCCGCTCCTGAAACTACTCATGTTTTAAATTAATCTGTTTTTGAGAGTTTTATTTATTTATTCTGCATGACTGGAAGGTGTAAAGCTGAGATGTTATACATAGGTCAGATTCTGTCTCTCTACCGATGAGCCAAAAAAGCTTGATTTGTGAGCAACAGTTTTGGCTGATGGAGCAGTAGGTGCTCTCAGAAGGTGGAGAGGCGGGAGATCGGTATTAAATGACAACTTGTCATCTGAGTAGGGGCTGACTGCATTTGTCCTTTGATCCATCTAGAAATTGCCAGCGTTCTTTTCTGCTAATGTTTCAGACTCTTGCAGGCAGAGTACCTTTAAAGATGAATCTCTTAAAATCATTCACCTTTTAATTAAAGTTTAAATTTACTAAATTAAAAATAATTATATCTTTCAGCCTTGACATTTATAATTGTCTTAAAACTTTGTTATTCTCATCTGAGTTTAATTAAAATTTGGCATTTATAGTTGCGATGGTTCATAAGTCTATATTTTTTTCAATTCTCATTTCTTTTACATATTCAGTTTAAGAAGCAAACTAATCAGGTGCATGGGATAGAATATTTTGTTTTTAATATAAGATACTTTGTGTATCTCAACACTTTATAGACATTATGTGAAAGTGATGTTTTAGACTTCAATAATTTTTCCCCCCCTTGGTTCTTTTTAGAATGCATCCTTCTTTCCAGGTGCCGAAAGAAACATATGAGGATCCTGAAGTTACTGGAAAGAATCGCTTTAAATACTTTGACAGGTAGAAAGTAGTTCATGAACATTTGAGCCTCATGATACTAGAGAGTCTATGATGACGATAACATTTAAGATTTTTAAGTTCACGCACTGCCAGGCACCATTTAAAATGCTGTAAATATGCGCCGTCCAATCTTCATAGTAGAAATAGGATTATGGCACAAATGGACATTTCAGGAAGTTCATAGAAAATGGAGTTAACAGATAAGTTTATTTTGGCATAAAACATTTTTGAAATTCATGCATTTTTCCTATAATACATATTTTCCATAAAGTTTTTAATGATCTCCTCATATGTTATTCCCATTTTACCAAAAATGAGGCTGAGACAGACAGGAGAAATAACTTTCTCAGGGTCATGTAAGCCAGTCAGTGGCAGAACTAGGAGTCTTACAAGGCCTGTGGGACTCCAGAGGCATGAGTAAAATTGCCACTTATGTATCTGAGAAGAAAATGATGTCACCATTTTCATCTTTGACACTTAATCAGATGAAATGAGACACAGCAGGAATACCACAAAGCCATACTTATGATGTGGAAAATTAGGTAAAAGTGCTCAGATGAACAACCTCTGCCCTCTGTGTGAATGTCACCAAACCCAGCACAGCTAAAAGAGTCATTTTATTTTGTTTGCGTTTAACATTCAAGTGATATAGACGAGATCGGGCGCATTCAGGGTGGTATGGCCGTAGACAAGTGATAAGCATGTATTCAGATCAAATGAAAATAAGATGGGAATTGACTAAAGGTCTCACCTGAGTTGAGAAAGCATTTTTTAAAAAGATTTATTTTTCTTGTGATGGAGATTTATAAAGAGAAGAGACAGAGAAAGATCTTCTATCTGCTGGGTCACTTTCTCAAATGGCCTCAATGGCCAGAGTTGAGCCAGTTCCAAAGCCAGGAACCAAGAACCTTCTCTGGGTCTCTCACATGGGTTCACAAGGACTTGGGCCACCCTCTGCTGCTCTGGCAGACCACAAGCCAGGAGATGGATTGAAAGTGGAGAACCTGGGACACAATCCAGCACCCACATAGGATACTAGTGCTTGCAAGTAGAAGATTAGCTGGTTGAGCCACCACACCAGCCTCCAGAAGGCAATCTGGATGGTGCTGTCTAAACTTACTTGAGTATAGAAAGTTCACATCTTTATTATTAACATATGTACATGTTGTCTAAAGATTTAGTTATTTGAAAGGCAGAGTTACGGAGAAGCAGGGAGATGGAGGTCAGTGGAGCAGCTGGGACTCAAATCAGTGCTCATACAGGAAGCAGGTGTCACTGGTGACCTCTAAATGAGCAGCCTCCAAATGGAAATTTTGTAATGTGGTTTTTCTCCATTCTTAACTAAGTGTATTCAGTTCCTAGGTTTTGGAAACTGTAGGGAACTTGAGAAGTTAATGTGAATTAATGGTGAGCTATAGCCCAAATATAGAGTACTGCCTCTCAGAGTGGGGCTTGTTTATCATGTGCAGAGAAGATGTTGGAGTTCTTGGGGATCTGCTGGTTCAGATTTACACTGACCAAGTCTCTGGTCACACCCGGGCATTTTAAATGGAAATTTGGCCCACCGTTAGTATATCTGTATATATGCCAAAGTTTGAGAATTTCTGATATGTGGGACTTGTGCTTATTGATTTTAAGGGATCAGTATCAGAGTTGGAAAAGAGTTTTGAGTACTCCCAGTGCGAAAGTCACATTTCACATTTCTGGTTTCTTTTTCTTCCAGGCCTTTCCTCCCATTTTTTCAACAAACGTCATTAAATGTTGTTTTTGCAACAGACACGTAAGTAACTATTATTTTAAAACTTTTGTCAGTTTGTTTGTATTGTTTGCTTCCATATTTGCTTCTAGAATACACTTCTCATAGCTACTTTTCAAACTGTGGAGCATAAACTATTAGAAAGTATAATCTCTTCTAGTAGTCCATGGCAGCATTTTAAAAAGTGAAAAAAAAAAAAAAAAAAGGATAGCTAAAGCATAAGGCATTTGGAGGTTCAATTTTTTTTTTGTAATTTTTGTTGCAGAAAGATTGCATATGTTCATACGTAAGTATACAGCATATTTCATAATCTACATTGTCTTAATCTGTGTTGCTATAATAAAAAACCACAGATGACGTAATTTACAAATAATACAAATGTCTTTGGCCCGGTTGAGACAGGAAGCTAGTGTTTGGTGTCTGGTGAGGGTGCTCTTACTGTGTGCTCACCTAGGAGGAGGAAGGAACACTGTGTCCCCTCAGTGGAATTGGGTTAGTTTTCCCTCCATTCCTGCCATAAGGTACTGGAGCTATCATGAATGAACCACTTCCCTAAAAGACCCCACCCCTTACTATCACCAGTCAGGGATTGTGTTTCAACATGAATTTTGGAGTGTACACATTTAATCCATAGCAATAAGTATAAAAACAACAACAATAAACACAACCTCAAAAGTACCTCAGAAACCCTTTTCTGCTTCCCTGAATCACAAATGTTTTCAGAGTCAATTTTTCAGCATTTTGTCAAGAAACCTCTTTGGTTATGAAATGTTTTTGCATGCTAGAATTGAGAGCTTAATAATCATTCCATCTACACAAAGCAGTGTGACACTCAAAGACAAAGCAGGATTTTGGCTTCACAAAGGAGTGAACCAAGATGAGAAGGAAGTAAAGGACAAGGATAAAAATGCAGCTCCCTGTCTTTAGTTCTAAGGAAGATGAAAGATGAAGTAGAGCATTACTTTAAAAATCTAATATTTGCTCTATTCTTTCTTGTGTTAATGGAAAAAAGTCAAAGGTATTCACAGAATGATTAGGAAAAAAAGGTTTTCTTAAGGTCTTAGATTTCTTTCTTCTTGGTTGAAAGGCACTGAGGAGAAAGAGTGACAGAGGTCTTTATTCACTGGTTTATTCTCTAGGTGTTTGCAACAGCCAAGTTCAAAGTTGGGAAAGGCCAAAACTAAGAGCCAGAAAATCAATGTGTGAATGACAGGGGCCGAAGTGTTAGAGACTTTATCAGATGCCCTCCAGGATGTGCATTAGCAGGAAGTTTTACAGAAAGTGAAAAAGCCAGGACTTGAGCCAGGAACTCTCATACGGGACTGAGCATCCCAAACCCAATGTCCATCCTGTGTCTCAGATTTCTATGTAGGAAGTTATTTAGGGCTGGGCTTTCAAGCATGCTTTAACAGGAGCATAGTCTCTTT